GGCATGGCATCAAGCGGCCTTTCAAGTGTCTTCATCCCGAGTGCACCACCCATGCAGGGTTCACGACTCGGAGCGGGCTTGAGAGGCACACCAAGAAGAAGCACCCGCGTGCGCCAGGTGCTGCCCCAAACACCGAAGGTGCGAAACATAAGGGGACACAAGAAATGATTCCATGCAAGAAAATTCGTAATTCTGAGATTTCGCCTCTTGAACCCCAACGGTTGTTGCAAGGTGGACATGATGAAGGTTGGTATAAGTGAGTCGAGTTATCTGAAGCTTCTTTTGCATGTCTTACCTGTTGGACATTGCTCTTTCAAGGCCATTTGACTCTCTTCGAAAACGCGGCTTATAATGGTCTGGCGTCGTAATGTTCCAAGGCCGATAATTGTGCTTTTTGCAAACGGTCCCTTTTGGCAGCCGTAGGTGATGCAGAGAAAAGATTAGTCGCTCAGCCACCTATTTTAACCCTTCTCATAAGGTGCACGTTGCTAGGTCGAGGTCCTCGCTTTTTAGTAGTCATTTGCAACTTCTTGAAACCGGCATTATATGAATCCGTATGCTAACTTTACCATAGCTTCTCTCCGTAGGTTCTACTGGAGAGTCCGGCCCTGCGGCAGCGCCCGTCCCAGAGTCCCATCCTGGAGGCGATGTCTTCGCAACTGATGACCAGCATCGCCAAGGGAGCGTTCAAGCAGCGACTCGCCCTATTCCTGGGGACGATGCTAACGTGGACGCTGCTAATGCGCCCGGTAAGTGCAGCTGGAAGTTCTTGCACATCATCTTTCAACGGATTGGACGCATTAGAGGAAGTTTACTCGTTGAGTCTTGCCTTGGGTGTTTCAATTTCTACGACTCCTTCTCTTCGTTGCTACGATGCCGTGTGTTGGAACACAAAGTCTTCTGGTTTGCTCGAACTAGGTTTGGTTTTCCTGGACAACCTCCGAGTAAGCTATTCTGAAGTCGACTCAGAGCTCAAGGATCCTCGTCGTTTGTACTTGAAAGGTGGTCGAAGTCCGCCTGTCTATTCGGAGCTTTCGAACGTGTTCAACCTGCAGCCCTTCAGTTTGGAGCATCAGGCTCAAAAGACTCTCAGTTACAGACTTCAACCTAGATCTGATCGGGTCGAAGCAAGTCTTCGATTCTTTCCCTTGGAAAGTCAGATGCATCCACCAGCCGGTCTTCGGGAGCAGTCCGTACCTCCTGGTCTATGCACAGTCCGGAGCCCTCATTTTGTTTTGTTGTAAACACTGCAGCCGAGGAGGCGTCTGGACCACCTCGCCCAGCGGAAAATCCCGCAAGAGCAACGAGCGCTGCACCTGGTCCTTCGGACAACAACTCCCCTGCAGCTTCGGCGGGGCAGCCAGCTTCCGATCAGGGTCCGGCAGTCAACAAGGGAACAGCGGCCTACACGACAGGTGAGCGCCTAGTCTAAGGGCCTTTAGCTTTCGGTACATACCGGGAGAGCCGTGTTGACAAGCGATGTTCCAATCTGCAGCGAGCGAAGCGCTTCCTTGGCCCCAGCCAGACTTAGCTTTCGGTGCTCAAACCTCCCCTTCTCTTTTACAGTACCATGGCCGAAAGCCCACATAGTTGATCCCGACCTCGGGTTGTTACTCTTCAAGAACTTTGAACCTCAGGACTGTGAGAATCTGTTGGTTCTGCTCCACCATTCAGGGAAAGATTACTGGTGCTTGACCGGTATAGTCATTCGAGACAGCGCCCCAATCGATGTCCATGCTCGCCCTTCGTGCAGGTCGGGAGCAGCCCCAGGATCCCGCAAGTCCTTTGAGAGGGTCGGCGACGCAGGCACCCGCCGCAGAAGACCCGGTAAACGGAACTCATCAAGCTCCGGCAGCCGGCACTGGCTTGAGGAGCAAGCGGAAGCCACGTGTAGTGTTCTCAGAGCCTGCCTCGGAGCCTCTGAGGCCGATCGACGCGAATTCCGCCCAGCGAATCGGTCAGAAACGGAAGAAAGCGGCTTCGGCTGGTGTCTATTTCGAGAACTTAGAAGACTATGTCGAGTACATGACAACTAGTGGTGGCGAGAAACGGGCTAGGGGTGGCCGGAACTCCTCCATGAGGACATTCGTAAAGCGGCACAATGAGCGGGTGGCCAGACTTCGTGCCAGCGTGCCTGAAGACATTGCTACCAAGGCCATGATCCAAGCAATTGAAGCGCGGCCTTGCAAGGAGTTATACAAACAGGTTGGGTCGGAGGAGTTTGAGTTGTTGGTTGCAGGATCAGCTCACGGGCCAAAGTTTGTAAGCCTCGACGAAGTTGACCTGCAGGTATTGGTGGAGTTTGCCAAGGCATCCAAGATTGATCACGTGGGGTTGAGCACTTGGAGGCTCCGTTGGACAATCTATAGGGCACTCGACTTAGAGGTGTTGAGAGACCATAATCTGCTTCCAGAGAACGGTGATCACTTGCGTTGATGTGGTAGATTTGGTGTACGTTTTGGTACACCTGATAGGCGTTTCCATTCATTGAAAATCTACAGCATGTCGTTCGGCATCATGTGAGATAGCTTGACACCATGCCGGTGACCTGAAAAACAATTGAATGGGGCATGCAATGGTTCACACGTGAGTCAATGGATCATTCGTTCAACCTGAGCTACATAGCCTTTATAGATAAATTACTCGCATTGACTCTACATGATTATCATGCATGGCATTGCACGGCAAAGCATCCAACGTGCATGACTTTAATCGTACTGAAGATGAAGGAAACAAGAAAAAGGCGTGGCACGGATTGCGTCATGCGCACGGCAAATGAATGCATACATTTCAATCGTTTCTAGGCTTCTCATCACACGGACAAAAGTCTCGACTCGATCACGAATTAATAAAACTTATTATACTGATATTACAACATGGGCCCGGCGAGCTATAGCTAGGTCTCAATGTTATGATACCGCGTCTGAATCCAGCGCAAGCTCGGCGCACAACTAAGCTGCCAATGTGTACGTCCAGTGACATGTCTAGCTTCAATCGTGGTCACGTCTTGAAAGAGGAAAGCTACAGCTTTGAATGTCTTTATGCCATGAGAATTTTGAGTCATTTATTAGTACCGTTTGGTCACATGGTGAGAACAGTGCAAGTATCAGTATCCAATCTCGCGCCGCACCTGCATGGCACTACGTCTGACGGCCACTTGCCAAGCCATGCACGCACGCGAACGATGTTTCATAAACAATATTCGTGCTATCATGTATCTTCGGAGCCGGAATTCACCCAGTGAAAAGATTTTGAGTCGATCCATGCATCCTTGTACTCGTGATCGACATGCGCGCTGTCCGACTTACTAGCAAATTGTTCAGTCACATGCCATGATGCTTGCACATATATATTATATTCACATATGTTGTACAGCCCACTTAGGATCCGATCTCGGTACTATACACGCGGTATAGTGCATGAAATCCCAAACTGAGTCTTGAGTCAGATTTCTAATCATGAAAATTCCATCCTACGATTCCGTCCCACAGATTGCGTCACAGATTATTGTTCAGCAGACCGAGAAGTTCTCTTGATAAGCATGAGCACTATTTGTCCACACCTAGCAGATCGCCGAGCTCTTCTTGCCTATTCAAACAGTGCAGATAGTAACGCATAAATATCAAGAAGTTGCTCTGCTTCATGTATGCGGCCTGGGTTTTCGCGTTCACGAGCCTCGAGTTTTTCTGTTCACTACGCTGCGAGTTAACTGATCGTAAGGAAGCGTACCTGTCAATTCCAAAAGCTGGACTGCAGTCTTTGTGATTGACGGTGTGTAATCTGTCTATAAGCGAGTGGATGTCCCCCGCCCATTTCGGCTCTCTATTCAAAGCATAAGAAAACAAGTGGCAGACGTTGTCGCAGATGAAGCGCTTCAGTTTTCTGAAACGGGTGAACAGGGTCTGGAACACGATCTTGGGAGACTCCGCGCTTGGTAGGACCACAAAGCCAACGCACATCGCGCAAAAGATGCAGAAGAAGGGGAAGATGCCCGGAGTGAGCTTCTTATGTTGGCTCTTGTATTTCGTGCAGGTCGGCCCCACCTTCTGACTGAAAGAGTCGGCGGCGTATGGTGGAAGCTGCCGCGAGATGGGCTGGTTCGGGAAGTAGTGTCCAGTCCGAAGGAACTGTTCATCTTCGGACATGGCGTCCATATCGAGCGCTCCTGCACAAAAAGACATCCCGTCGTGAACGGTCTGCATACGGGTAGTTCGCATCGGTGTACAAGTTTTTAGACCGAGCACTAAATGATTCGTGGTGCTCTTCAAGGGTCGACAGAATCACAAGACGTTGGGCCACCACCTTCAAGATTTGTTTCTTTCTCGAGAAGAGTACACTCTCTGCTCCGTCGGGATAGGGTAAGCGTATATCACCTTTTCCTAATCAAAATCCTGCCCCTCTACAACAAAGCAGGCACGGTTCTGAGACACGCCTGACACGCTCGACATCGTGATGAAGCCCCCAACGCTGTTGTCGAAGGTTGCCTTCACTTGAGCTGATTGGAGGGTACCCGGATGGCAACAGTCCGACACGCAAAACCTGACTAATCGTCGTCCTTTTGGAGCCGTTCGTCTAGGATTGATCATCGCATCTGGTGACCTTTGTTCAGGAAATTGTGTAGCGTACTGAAAGGCCGAGACGTAAGTTGCTTTTGGACAACTCTATGTAAAGCACACTGGTCAAGAAACATCTTGACCAGATCAGAAGCCAAAGAAACTTTCCTATCAAAGCAAAAACGCAGCATGTAATTTAAATCACGTAATGGCGTGCAGCGGTTCGGTTCTCACCTGGGGAGTCTCTTTCGCTTTGGGCGTCGTCCATTTTGCGTCTTCTGAGCTTCTTGAACGCCTCAATCGGTTCCTCAACGTACGACTTCCGTGCAACGACTAGCAGGTCTCGAAGGAGGAGGCAATCTGCTTCGCCAAGCTGGTTGCCCGCTTGAGCGAGCCGCCCTTGTAGGAACCGTCCGAGAACCGGAGCTCGCTCTGCGAGTTTCCGTGCCACACCTAGATCTGCAAGTCTTAGATGCTCAGAGCTTATGAGAAGCTCGATGATCGACTCCACCTCTTGCGGAAGCAGAATGGCAGCAGCCTGGGGTACTGATGCAGCGCGGAGAAACTCTATCGCGCGCTCGCTACAGAAGAATCTAGCTTGGTGCAATTGGGGGGAATCGAGGAGGTAAACGAGATGCTTCGCCGAAGTGTTTGAAAGGGAGGTTCGCAGTTGCTCTAACTCGTCCTCTATCAGTCCCGCTCCTGCCTTCCCCGGTGGCTGTGCAAATCGGAGTAGAGCCCCGCGGATCTGAGCATTCTGCACGAACGTCCGGTTCTGATGAAGGGAACCAGTCTTTAGCTCAGCCGTGTTGTCACGCTTCCAAGGTGTTACAAGGTAGCTAAGATCTGCCCGATAACCAAGTGTAACACCGTCCCCGATGAGCTCAGATGGCTCGTGATCCGCTGGCGACACCCCCTCCGGAGGGGCGCACGTACAGCGGAACGACGTAGAGTAGTTGATGTCGAGTAGGGTGATGTAGTCAAAGAAGGCGTCTTGGAACGCCTGACGTTGGTTGATGTACAACTTGAGGGCCTCCTTGTCGACGCCCGCAGCGAGGTACATTGACAGAACGGATTCCCACATGGACACAAATGGCACTTTAGCGCGCCACATCTGGTTGGCATACCTAGAACGACGCAAGAAAAGCAATGAGAGTCAGTAGATATTCGAGTGCAGTTCGAAAATCACGATGATAATCTCAAGATATATTTCAACAATGTCCATAAAAACTTCATACTGACCCTCACGCCTTGCGAGCCTGTCAGATGACACCACCTACAGAAAACTTTCTTAGCTTGTGTTGAGGAAGTCGGTGAAAGTTTCTGCATAAACGGGAGTCCTTAAGAGGTACAATTCAAACGCAAAAGCAGTGGCTTAATCAGAATTCAAGCAAAAGCGTGAAGGATAACCTCTTGAGTACAGTGCTTTCGCAACATGCATAAAAGCATACGCTTCCCCAGCCGGTCAAGCACATTTGTCGGGCACATAGAAGCCGTTTCATTCAGTTAATTTTCCACCTTAACTGCGACGCCGACCAACTGTGCCTGACAAGATTGAGATTGACGCAAGCAGCAACTCACTGAATTGGATGTGCCAAGCGGATCAAAAGACTTTGCTATCTGTGCGGACTGCAGACGTCGGAAAAGAGACTGGCGAGTCAGGGCGGCTGATTGACAAAGCGGCTATGTCTGACATTTCTGACTTCGGACTCGAAACGTCTCCCTTGATCAAACACCAAAGCAGCAGAATTGGCAACCACTTGAACTGGCTCCCTTTCAAGAGCAGCCCCTAAAAAGTAGGCCTGTGAGAAGACGTGTAGTAACCACCTGCGACAGACAACCGTAGAAGGATGGCAACCTCAAAAGAAAAGCAAGTCAAAGCAAACCAGCATGACCAAACGAGCGAATCAATGAACTTACTACAAGTTACACAGTAAACTCACCATTGCAGGATCTCGTAGGAGTAGAGATACTTGTCGTTGAAGTTCAAAATGCCATCCGCACGACCGCCGTAATGCCAAACAGTGCGCCCACATGGGCAGGTCCGAACCTGGACTTGAGTTTGGACAGGCGCAAGCAGGTGGAAGATCGTACCCGACACCAGAGACACGAAGGAGTCCGCCCAAGGCCGTTTGCAGCTCCCGCACTCTCCTTCCGAAGGCGCGCCGACTTGACACACCGCAGGGAAGCCAACCTGACCCGTGCCTCTTCGCATCAGTAGGCTGGCCAAATCCTGGTCTGCCCGGTGTGCTTCCCGAACAGCCGCCCGAGAGAGGCACTTCAGCCTACGTTTTCCTGTGGTCTTGTCAAAATCCTGAGCCAACTGCTCCTCAAACTGCTCTGGCGTCATCCTCGAATATTCAAAAGACGCCCCTGGCCCCATCACCCTTTGCACATGCCAGCACTTTATCTTCCCCTTGCCGTAGCACTCGGTGCAGTTCCAACGTCCAGGACTCTTCTCTACAACCACAACACAATCCGACCGTGTTGTCCCTACCAAAGCTGCCTTGGGTGCAGTACCCCGAAACGGGAGGAGAAGGACACGCTCCTCAGCAACTTGCTCGCCACTGGACTGCGCTCTGCTGCTTTCACTGGACCGTGCGCAAAGTTTAGAAGCCGTCAGCTCGACAGCATCCCCAAGCTTGAACAGCGCCTTTAGGTGAATGCACTGTGGCGCCTGGCTCTCAAGGTAAGACATTTCCTGCTTCCCTTGGGGAATGCCACTAAAGATGCACCGTTGTAATTCTAGCTCTGGACAGCAGTTGCACCAATGGGCCACTGCTATTCCACCACCTACAAGCGGGACCTCACAGACCCCCGGCATTACGAATGAGTCGTAGTTTAAAACCCCCTTTGTCTCAACAAAAGTAGGAAAGCAGAAAGTGCTTTCCAGGACCTCATCAACGTCATCTGGACCAAGCGGCAGAACAGGGGGCACGCATTCCTCCAAGATGCTGAGCAGCTGGTGGGTGTAGACATCGAGCACCGACGGCTCTCGCTGGAATGAATCAGACTGGCTACTCCAATCGCCGCCATCCTCGGCCCAGTCCACCTGAGACTGAAGTGGCTCTTGCCCAGGAAGAGTTGCATTGCTTGGTGCTCTCTGGTGACTCACATCTGGTTGTGTTGTATCATTGCTGCCGCTGCTTCGTTCTGGGGAGATATCCTTCCAGCTTCTCTTCCTAAACTGCCCGTCAGCCCCTCTCACAGAGACTCCACCTCCACACCCTTTTGGCCTGCCTGCAGCCTGTTCCTGAGAGGGTGCATTGGACATTTTGAGGAATGGAGCTGCCAGCGGCTGACGTTCACAAGTGCCAAGCTTTTCCTTCGACTTTTGGGTGAAGGGCCCAGTCTGGATTCCGAGGAGCAGTAGTCCAAGAAAAGCAAATACTGCAAAAAGTTCGGAGCGCGGCTTCTTGACTGCCTGTAAGTCACCATGGCCAATGCTTAGGCACTTAGGGCGCCTCAGAACGTCTTCATCCTGCCATTTGCCCTCCTGGCTGTGATACTGATTGTGAAGATAGCTGCTGCTTTCTGCCCCGCAGCATTGGACCTGAGCCATAGGCCCGATTTGTCCGTCGATTAGGGTTTTCCATCGGACCTAATAGCCCGTAAAATTTTCACTTTTATACCTCCTGCAATCTGCAGAATCATGTGCAAGGGCCTGTCCTTCGGGAGATCAATTCTCTCTCCCGCGCCCCATCAGGCTGCTATGGCAGCAGCTTATGTGCAATGCCGGACAGCAATTGCAGAGAAGTCCTTGGTAGCAATTGTATGGGAGTGGTCGAGTTAGAAATTATGTCAGCCCAGATGCAGCCTGAAAGGGGCTGAGTATGGATCAGGAGTGTTCACGAAAGTAGGTGTGAATGATCAGCAGCAGGGTACATTACATCATGATTCTTGAACTCAAAAACCCCAAAGAAGAGCTGCCGCGATGGCTTCCCGCTCAGTAGCAAGCAGTGCGCCCACAGTCCCAAGGGGATCTTTCGGTTTTGGCGTCAATCTTGAAGGGCGTACTTTGAGTAGTCATAAAGTGAGCGCAACTAGAATCCGTCCTGTAACACCACCATCAACATCATATAGAAGCAGAACGCAGTCTTGTCTTGCTTGCACTTCCCCGAGAAACTTTTCCGCAAATCAGTCTTTATCGAAGCCGATCGAACAGCAGCATTCTCTTCGCAATATTCTGACCCATGGGAGGGTTGTGGTCAGGCAAAAGTCTTCGGCGCACAACCAGCGGCGACGCAATGGAAGGAGGGACCAGATCAATTGTCGATTGCATTCAGAACTAGAAAAGCTAGTGAACATCATTGTGCCGGGGCTGAATGGCTCACCCGATGTGGCCGCCTTTGCAGCTCGGCCAGCACATGCCCGGCCTGGAAAGCTACCTGTTGTAATCATGATTCACGAGTTTTACGGTTTGACTGAGGACATGGTTGGGTGAGTTTCAGCACTCCAGCCTGAGGCTTTGCCACATATAGATTATTAATTGATCAAAGAGCCGTGTCGCACCTTCCTGGCCAAATGACAAATTTTGACCTTCTGTTGTCTCCTTTTTCACTTCAAGTGGTCTCAGAGAAGCTGCAACTGGATCAAACGTAGAATACAACAAACAATCAGGGGTTTCACTTCTGTCATCTTGGTTTGAAAATGGTGATGTTGAGCTTTTGGGTATGGACTGAACACTCAGCTTGCCTGCAGGAACTTCTCATGATATAGTAGATACTAGTCGGATGAATCAGAGTCCAAGCTGTGGCCTAGCAAGTCTGAAACTTTCTACTGGCTCTGCAGGAAGGCGCAGGCACTTGCAGAAGAGCTGGGGGCTCTTGTCATTGCTCCAGACACCTACCGGGGGGACTGGACAAAGTTCATTCCAAAGGCAATCTTCCTTGCATTATCCACTCCTCAGGTGAGGCAATACTGATCATAGGCAGACTTGTATTCAAGACATAGGAGATTCGTCAGTACAAGTTCGACCCTCAAACTCCAGCATTATTCTCTCATCCTATGTGCTATCTGCAAGCATGCCTTTGTTTGCACACTCTTCAACAAGTTTGACGGATCTGAGCCAAAGAACTTTGGTGTGGCCGCCTCCGAAGATGAGTTCGCTAAAGGAACCACTTGTCCTAAACAACAGCTTCCGAAACACTGGCCGACTCAGGAAAGGTGTATTTGACTGTGACTGTGATGAGTTCGATCTGACTACGTTCCTTGATCTTAACGAAGTGAAAATGGTTCGCAGGAGCGAGTAAACGACGACCTTGACTCGGTTGTTGCGTGGGCAAGCCAACAACCGGATGCAGACATCACTCGGCTGGTGGTGATGGGCTTTTGCTATGGCGGCGGGAAGGCCATCCGATACAGTGCCACTCGCAGGAACCCTGCTGCCACCGTCGTCTTCTATGGCAGCCCGGTGAGCTTTTCCACACCGGGAGTTGAGATTTTCCCCTGCGAGCCTGAACACTGCAGAAAGCTGCTTCGATGTAGAAGTCTGTTCACACCGCACCTGTTTCGCTCTGAAGATACTTCCTTGAAGGAGATGAATCACAGTGGCTGCTTTCACCGCTGGCTGTAGTCACGTGCTTGAGAAAGTCGAGTCGAAACACTCCGATGAAGACGTCTCCGTGTGTTGCAAAAATGAAAGAAGCTTTTTGGGGGACCTGGTTTGATTCACTCATGTCAATTTCCTTGCAAGACCTGAAGAGCGTATGTCCGCTTCTTGGCTGTTCTGGTCCATTCAGACTCACTGACCTCATCAAGTTGCTTAGATCTCGAAAATAATCTTCGTAAAGTTTTGGGACTCTCTTGTGACGTGACTGCTCGTCAAGCTGGGCCCGTGTCAGAATCTACTTTTCATATCTTCTTCAGGATGTGTCTTATTTGAAAAATCATCTATCCCCCCTTCCCTAGCCCAAACGTTCCATTTACATTCTATTAGCGCCCAGAGTCAATATTCGCTACTGCCTACTTTCAAGATCTTCCGCGCTGCTGACCAATCGAAGTACTGTCGAGCTTCACTGTGATCCTGAACCCTCAGACGTGTTTGATTCAGTGCAGTTGACGGACGTCGATGTGTTGGCCCGCCTGAAGGGCCCCGTGCTGCTTATCTACGGAGACAGAGACGCCCAATTCCCTCCTGCGAAGGTCAGCCCGCCTGACTTCGCAGGTTTTCTAGACAAGGTCGCCCACGCATATTCTGCTGCATCTCAGCCCCACTCTTGCAGAATCAGAATGCCCTCTCGAAAGTACCACAAGGTGACACTTGATCAAAGTATCGGCCTCTCCTCTGCCTCGAGAGCTCGACGGTGGATGGAGCAGGACACGTCCCCTCGGAAAGAGTGTATCGTTTTTCACAAAGTGTTCTAAATCATGGTGTCCACGTAAGGGGATAAGGGAGGCGCGCACTTGGCAAAACATTGCCCGATACTCAAACCCTTTGCTCATGAGAAGAGGTTTGCTGGTCTCGGTGACGTCAGTTTCGTAAGGATACTGAAAGCATTCTTTGGGGTGGTCAAGATTGAAGATGCCAGGCTCTATACACGGATGCCTTCTTGAGAAACCAATATTACTATCTTTGCCTGATCGTTCAATGAATGCACGACTCTGACGCAGGTGCACGCTTTTCGGGACGCCTTGGTCAAGGCCGGTATCGACGTCAAGCAGAGCATGTTTCCGGGACAGGGCCACGCCTTCTTTCGAAACATGGCGCAGGTGGGTAAAAATCCGTTCGTCTTCCATTCTCCTTCAGCACTTCCCAGATTGTCTCGTTCTAGGGTGTACACACGTAGAAGCTCATCACAACATGGAATAGATTATTCCAATATGAGCATTGACTAAGTTACTGGATGGATCCGGAAGATGAACCGCGCCCAACCCATGCTGACATGCTCTTCATGCATGTCATGGTTCGGGGTTCCTGATTTTCATTGAGCCGTAGGAACGGGTTGGAAAAATCAACCTTTACGTGGAACCGCAGCGTTGGGTATGCCAATGCTGGCCAGGTACACGGCGAACTCGCTCGTAGTTGCTTGCCCCCGTTTGCGTGCAGTTACTTCTAAGCAGCATGTTCTGGTCTTAGCGAAATTTGGAGCTTCGGGTTTAGACTCTCGTCCTTCTCAATGTGTTGGCGATCCGTGAACTTAAGTAGCTGGTCAGTTGAGGGTCTCTCGACTAAGCGGCTGTCACGACAATGAAGCTCTCCTTTCATTCACGTTTCGCTGATGCCACTGTGAAGTGATTCCTTTATAGTGTTGCAGTTCGAGCACTTCGATACCTCTCGTTGTGAGGGACATGAATGGAAACATGACCATCTCCTACTGCGCTGTTTAGGTGGAGGCGGGTAGTGGACCCCAGCGTCAAGCTTGGAGTGAGCTTCTAGCATTTCTAAGGGAGAGACTCTTCTAGGTACCCATCTATTCCGTAACTTCGGCGGTCAGCTTGACGCGGCCTTGAAGCTCTTCCTGGCATTGCAATCTTGGGTACTGCACACGGCAAGATGGTGACCGATTGTAGGCGAGTATTGTGACAGGATCCTCTTAGAAGCCCGTCGTAGCTGATTCGCATGGTGACTCACAGTCGTAGGCTCTTTAGAATCCACCAACGATCCTCGAATACCATGTTTCGTGCAAAAGCTGTTGCCAAACCTTGCACCTTGTGAGTGACCCTGCAACTGTTTGAATTACAATTCTCCAATTCGGAAGATTTTTGTCAATCGACTTGATCATGGATAATCCACATATATGGGGGCTCTTTGGGCCTTGAAATTTCAGCCCATCATTGGAAGGAAGCAAGTATGTTACCCTTCGATCTAGCGATGGTCCCCTCAGGCTGCTGTAGTAGTCTTGGAAAGTCACAAACGCAATGAAAGTTACGGATACAGTACGTGTAACCGTGTCGGGTTATTGCGCTAACTCTCGCCGTACATGTTTACACGCGAACCGTCGATACATCTTCAAAATGCAGATTGATCCGCAAGATCGTCGCGGCGGTTTCGCTGAACTGCGCGCGCGGATCAATGTATGTATTCCGGTGTACGCTGCTGACATCTATAGTACCGGTAAACACTGTACGGTACTCTGGTCCGAGTAGTGCATTGCATACCAGTCCGAGAGCTGGGCAGTAGGTACCTACCCTGAGCATCCGATGAGCGGCCTGGTGTGTACTAAGGGTATTACCAAGCTTAGTTAAGGTACCAACTCAAAAGTACTTGGCCGTACGCTCTAGATGCGAGAGGACTGGGCATATGCTGCTTGCTCCTCCTTTGGGCCGCGTTTGTCTTTTGTTTTTCATGAGCTTGAGGCCAATTGAGGGCGCTATCTGACGTCCTCATTGCTTAGAGAAGTCACTGAAGATCTCTCCACTTCTGAAGCTGAACGTCACGCCTTCTGCGTGGTCCATCTGGCTGGATCTTCGATTGAGGGGAAGCTGCAAGTAGGCAAGTTGCAGCTCTGGAATCCTGCGATTTGTCCTTACAAAGGCTCCCTCCATTTAGTCTGCAAGTCTTGAAACCTTAAACCCAAAGAGAAGCTGGTCGTGTCTGGAAACCAGCAAAAGGCAGCCGCTTTTGGTTCGTCAAGTGAATGAAGCAGAATGATCGTAATGTATTGGAATATCTCTGGCAGCCAGCAGAACTAGCTTGTCAGGACTGGATACTAGAAGCAAAGGGGCGCAGTTGGTTGGACGATTGTAGTAAGGAGAACACCTACCTTTCTTGCAAAGTCGGAATGAAAGAGGCGTTTCTCTCCAAACGGACTACCCCCTAAATAGCTCGTTTAGTCTTACACCGGTCCTCAGGCTCAGATGCTAAGCGTGCTGCATGAGACCCAAGCAGACAGGCGTTGAACCAACAGCACGATGCATTTCCCCAAGCAGCTTGCTGGCACCCTAGCTCTCATCCTTCTTTTTCTAGGATGCACACAGGCTGTGCTCCAGTCTGATGGCAGAAAGTCAGGAAGTAGCTCCAGCACAGGAAATGGGTACCATGTTTGCAGTCTGGGGAAGGGACTCCCTGTGCTTCATTCCTGTGATCAAGCTTTCCGGGGGGCCAGCAATGGGTCCTTTGTCAGCTTGCGTGGCTTAGAGACCCCGCAAGAGTACATCATCTTGCTGAAGAATACGACGGCCAATGGGACAGCGGATCAGATCTGCAACAATGTGAGGCACCGCCCGCGCTTGGTTTGCACAGGGATTTGTGATCCCTGTTGTTGAGACAAATGTGACACGGCTTTGTGCTAAATTCCACTACATACTTTTTCATCCTTTGCTGGTTCGATCACGCTTCCACTTAACAGCAGCCTGGTAATTCACTTAAGATCGAAATTCAAAGGTTGGCAATGGCTTCAACATGCGTTGAATGTTCAAGCTCATGATGAACTCTTTTGAAGCTCCATTCGGTTAAGCTTCACCTTTTCATTAGTTAGGGTTCACAGGACCCTCCCTCCTAGCCCCTCAAAGACTGTTGCTTTGGGACAAGTTGCGTCGACTTCCTGGTTTGTTTGCTCAAGAGGAATTGGAGACACTGCTTCTTATAGCTTTTTCAATTGAGCTACCTAAGCATGACTGGCAGAGTAACTGATGCCTCTTGCTTCATCAATGTTTCTGCCAAAATTCTGTTTTAGCAACACAACTGACTCGCATGACCACTGCTGACTGAAGTTTTGCATCTGAACAAAGGATTTAAACAGATCTCATGTGTTGTGGCCGTTGCAACGCTTATTGGGGAGTCAAATGAAATGCTGGCTGATCCACCCCTTGCACTGGTTAGAGCAAGCAGGTAAAAGGACTGATGATGCTGCATATACATCGACGGAGGGCATCGGAGCAATCTCGGCGAGTTTGATGGGACCTGGAAAAACTTGATGAACTCGACTAAATGACGCCCTCAAACCCAAGCCCATTTTTGTGAGCACGTACCACCGAATGAGGACGTTTGCCCGTTGAGCTCCAAGCAGGGTTCTGACCAAACGCTTTGACTGAGTTTGAATTCTAGTCGACCGGTTTCCGGTGGACTCTACAGTGTCTCGTACGTCAACAGCCGCCCCTCGCTGGCATCATCAATGCCTCCCCACCATATCGAGACTAAACAACCCCAAGCACTGTCACTATCCAACCAAGATTGATGATAACCTTTTAGCTGCCTAACGATTACTGAGCACTTATCCAAAACTTACAAAACAAAAAGCTGATACGAACTACACCCTTGCCTCATATTGCTCTAGGTCGAGGGTCGTCAGCTCGGCATCTGCACGCGTCGCTTCAACACGCTCGTCCAGGGGTTCACGATCAACATAACCGGGCCTAACCTAGTGGGTTTGCTCGCCGACAACAAAGACGTCATCGCCACTCTGGAGGTCCCGAAAACGGCGTCGATCGCAGCGACGCAATCCCGGCCCCCATGGGGAGTTGACAGGAGCGATCAGAACCCTGGGGGCGCAACGTTGGATAACACGTATACCTACAACTACCCGATGGACGGAACCGGGGTGCACGTCTATATCATCGATACGGTAAGCTGGACATGGCAGCTCATCTTTGTAAGGTCCTTACCTGCATTGCAAGGAACCAACGTCTGCATCCCTGTATTCTGGAGAAGAATATTGCTTGTTATCAGCTGCTCCCAATCGACCTCTTACCATTTTGAAACGTTGGGGAGTGACGGCGTCAGTGATTCGTTCTTTTGCTGTTGAAGCTCCTACTTTCATGAATGTCGAACTATGGAGCTTCAATGTTTCATAGAAGCGAGCTTTGCTGGTCGTTGTTTCGTCGCAACATAAAAACGGGCAAACGTTCAGAGGTTGCGAGTACAGGTTTGCGTGCGACCAACCAAAGCATTATGAGGTTTGACGGGACATCAACCGGACTCACTAACCCCACCTACCAGTCCGCTAACCACCCTCTTAGAGTCGTCGAAATCAGGTTTCTGCAGGGCGAGTGTGCGGGCCATCAGGACTTACAACTTCGACTACCAGTCATTTAATTGCCAGCTAACCCTCAGGTGAATCTGGTTTTCGCAGGGCGTGCGCGCAAGCCATCAGGACTTTCTGACCATGGACGGGTCGCGCAGCCGCGTGCTAACCGGGTTTAACGCCGTGGGGGATGGCCAGGGCACCGGAGACTGCAACGGTCACGGCACGCACTGCGCCGGCATCGTGGCGGGGCGGGTCTCGGGGCTCGCCAAGAACGCATACATCCATTCTGGTGCGCTTGGGCGTTTGTCCTTTTTACTAGTCTCCCGAGCAGAAGCTTACGATGTTGAATGTTCGAGTCGCTCGAAGTAGTTGCCGAAGCGACGAGTTGCAGCTATCCAGCGACTCCCTCCTTTCCTTCAGACCGGGTCTGGCTTGGATTGTGTTCGAGCTGTGTTGTCTCAAGTGGAGGTTGCTCCATGTGTGAACCGTTGCGAGAGCCTTAGCGGCTCGACGAAGCACGCAAAGTCTTTGCAAAGTCATCTCTTTTCCTGGCATGCGAGTCAATCCACAAAAGTTTGAATCCGGTCTTCCAGTCCGAGCCGAACCATCAAGATACAATTTGTGCTGAAAGCAAATCTGCACTCCGATCTGCATCCGTCCTGAGAACGGAGTCCAGGCTCCAAGTGGAAACCAAAGTACTCGATTCGGAGGCTGCATGCTTAGCCACCGAGGCATGATTTTGCCTCCCTTGCTATCGAAAAAAAAATCCCTCCAAACAACGAGTCCCTCTCGCTGGAAACGGAACACTCACATTCCTGCCATTCCATCTGCGTCTGCTCCTCAATGCAAGCGAAAGCGCGGTGACACCCACCTTCGCTGCTCGTCAGGATCTAGAAAAGCTCGCAAAATCTCCTTTCGTCTGTTTACAGAGCAGACTTGCGCTCAGTCAAAACAACGGAACGGAACGTACTCATAATCTCGTTTTTCGCTCATCGCAGTCCGCGCAATGGGCTGCGACGGAAACGGCGGCTACGGCAACATCATCGCGGGGCTGGACTGGATCGCGGCCAATAAGCAGATGCCAGCTGTCGTCTCCATGTCAATCACGACCCCCACCTCGGTTAGCCTTGACCAGGCGGTTAACAACCTGGTTGCCACGAGCGGAATCACGGTGGTTGCGGCCGCCGGCAATTTCGCGCAGAACACCTGCAACTACTCGCCTGCGCGCGCAACTGTAAGCAAATTCTTACCGACTTACCCGACGATCAGACTTCGATAAGCGTGCCTAAGTACTGTTGGATGCGTTCAGGCCATGCTCTTCGTACACCATCAGATTGTAAAGCGTTCCGTTTGGACACTTATACTGATGTGTTTGTCCTGACTCCGCAAACCGCATACTCTGCAGCGCTGCCCGGAACGTAAATCTTACTCGTTACACAAGAAACGCCAGTCTGATCCTGACATGCGGTCGTCAACTCAGTTCCTCAGGCCTAGACGACCCAAGGGTGGGCCATACCAATAGAACGGCCTCTGATGTCGGATCTCTTGATGTTAAAGGTCAAACCCGCTTCCACTCTTTCTGCAGTCGGTGATTGCAGTGGGCGCTACCAATCGCGCGGACTCGATCAGCTGGTTCTCCAACTACGGCTCGTGCACCACGCTCTTCGCGCCGGTAAGCTGCGCAGCTTGCTCGACATTCTTCCGCCGTCATCTCAGTTTAAATCGTGTCCTTGTTTCAACCTGGCTATCACGGCCCAGTCCTAGGAAGAGCAGGTGGCGTAATCACTCTTCGTATTCCAGGTAACGTGTGGCCTGATCTTGATGCAAACGGAAAGAGCATATCCCAAGCCCCTACAGGTGGATACAGAGTCGAGTGTGACCCCTACTTCTTCGACTGGATCGGCAGAAGTTACGCTCTCTCAGTCCAAATTTACAACCAATCTATCAAAGCGTTTCGCTGCAGAAGATAACAGTCTTAACGTTGTTACGACGGTGTGTTATAGAGCATAGAGTTGCTGAGCGCCCTGGATTATCAGAACTACCTCTGGGAGGTTACGTTTAACCGCAAACTAAACCGTCGCGCCTCTTTCCCCACAGGGCGAGGACATCGACAGCGCGAGCTACGCGAGCGACACCGGAATCGTGACCCTCAGCGGAACGTCCATGGCGACCCCCTTCGTGGTGAGCGAGCGCGCGCGCGTTTTCAGTGCTTGCCCAAGCCTTTCGGGTTTACGTTTGATTGCTTGTGGCTGGAAGCCAGATGGAATTTTTGTTCGCTACCACGGTACGGTGATGATGTCTGCGAAATTGGCTCGTGGTAAAGCCTCGGAAAAACCTCAGGCTCGTGCTTTGGCTAGTCCGGTGCGGGCGCGTACAGGAATCTAGAGAATGAAGACGCTTTTCACGAGATAGGTCATCAAAGATGGTAACGGGGAGCTATAGCAGCCACGAGAGAAGTTTTAAAGGCGTCCCTCGAAAATTCAATCAGTATTTTCGATGGCTGAAACCTGAGGCTTGAGATTTCAAGAAGTGATCTTTCGCATCCTCAGAGGAGGGTTCGGTGATTGTTCGAACGGTCACCAGTTTAGGGCTTCTCATTCGCACACCGTTTGCCTATGCCCAACGCATAACGTATCTCAGCTTGTTCCCGCTTGACGCGGCCGCGGCCGCCCTCCTTTCGACCGCAACCCAATCCTCGAACCCCAAACCCCAAACCCTTTTTCAGGCGGGCGCGGCCGCGCTGTACCTCTCGGCCAACATCTACGCGCGCCCCTCCGAAGTCCGCCAGGCGCTGCTGGACGGAACTCTGCCGAACACCGTCCGGAACACCATCCCCGGAACCGGAACCCCGACCAGCCTGATGAACACCCGCCTGAGCTCGCCCCTGGTTGACGTCAGCCCCCGCAGCTGGGTGACGTCAGAGAACTCGAAGAAGGCAATCACGGTCAGGCTCAAGGCGCGGCCGGCGAACCCCGTGTATCTGCAACCGGCGATGACAGTCGGGGGGATTGGTGAGCGATGCTTTGAAGCTCACCTTATGATTTCGTCAGGCTTGTAACTTCAAGTCAGGCTGAGACGGTCTGAGACGTTTCTAGTCGACTGTCCGAGAATGCTGAGCGTGCTCCCACAACCGCACGATCTCTCTGTTGCGGATGATGATTTCTCCATCTTGGGTGCTTTTTCGACGGCCAACTCCAGAGTAAAACGGAAGTTTCTTGCAGGCCGTTTTGTTCCGTCTCGCCTGACCTTCGACTCGAGCAACTGGCAAACGCCGCAGGCCGTGGCCTTGGCCGTCCCCCGACTGGCGGGTGAGCAGTTTTTCCATCTTTTTGTTTCACGTGACAACCTGAAAGTTTCAATAAATCTGGCTTTCTTCTCACAGCGGACTTGATCAAACTCAGCCCCGCGAAACGGGTACAGATGCCTTGGGCGTAAAGGATAGGTAGGGCTAGCTTGGGGTATATAATGGGTGGGGGTGCGGTCAACGTAACCAATTGGGTTCAGGGTACTTCAAGCGGAGGGGCCTTGGGCCTTTTATTTTCTGCAAAGCAACTCTTAGTGGAAGGTATAGCAACCAGTGACCCGTGAAAGCGTCACGATACGCCGGTACAGAAACTACGTAGGACTCTCTCTTGGTCTGCGTGTTCCGTACGGATAGCGCCGTAGAGGTGCTGCTTACAAATACCAAGCGGGAGATTAAGCTAACTGTGACCTCATTTCGGAGCTCAAAGAAGATTGGAGAGCAGGCGGACGACTCAGTAGACGCTGGCAACTGTCCGCCAGTCAGATCTTTATGTAGTGGAACAGTAAAGCTTGCGAGCTCAAATCCTTCCGAACACAGGCCCATTGAAACTGTGCTCGTCACCTTAGCTTTTCAAACAAGGATGCTTTTGAAAATTTGTGAAAGTCGTCGGATCCACACTTACCGCACTCACCTACGCGCTTCATAACGAGATGGTGCTTGTAAACCCGAGCATTCCTGCAATCACTGTAAGCGCACTTTTGGCCGAGCTTCTTCTTATCGAGCTGGTCCTCATAATGCTTCTTCACAGCCACGGTGACTGCTCTTGCCATTGAGCTTTTCACACTGACTGTTCTTCCTGTGTCTGTGTACAGATTACTTGGACCACACCAGCCTAATCCAGTTTAACTTCATCAGCCGGGACGCCCGTTTCATGCGCACGCTGGAAGGTTACCTGGACTCCCAAGACACGGGTAAGACGGCGAGTGCGTTTTGTGAGATTCCCAAAATCGTTGTTCTCCATTCCGATTCTGCTCTCCACACACAACTTCACAAGCAAAGGCAACTAGTTGTGTGCTTTCCGACGCCCGTTTCATGCATTTGCAAATTGACCAACTAACTCCATTTTCAGATTCGAACCATCTCTGAACCGCATCTTTTCAACCGAGAAGCCCAATGCGTAACCCCATTTCGCAGACGTCTGCTCATGCGGCGACACGCTCGCAAACCCCAAAGTGCTCCCCAAGCTCTCATTTTATATCGAAGGTTCCTAAGCTTCCAGCCTTTTTAAAACCCGCCTCTTAACCATTAACCCGCTTCTCAACCCCGTCTCGCAGACGTCTGCCGCTCATGTGGCGACACCTTCGCCAACCCGAAAGTGGTCCCCAAGCCCCCATGCCGACGGTTTCCAAGTTTCCAGCCTTTTCTAAACCCGCTTCTTGAACCTTAACCCCCTTTTTAAACCCAATCTCGTGGACGTCTGCCGCTCATATGCGGCGATACGTTCGCCGACCCCAAAGTGATCCCCAAGCTCCCGTTTTACCACGAATGGTCGTTGAGCGTCGACCCTGCATTAACCAACCTCTCAACGAAGTGATAACCCCATTCTTCCAGACGTCTGCCGCTCATGTGGCGACACGTTCGCAGACCCCAAAGTAGTCCCGAAGCTCCCGTCGTACAACAACGGTCCTCCTCTCGTTAACCCACTTCCTAACCGAGTAACTAAGCGAGGTTTAACCCCGTTTCGCAGACGTCTGCCGCTCATGCGGGGACACGTTCGCCAATCCCAAGGTTGTCCCGAAGCTCCCGTTCTACCACGAATGGACAACCACCGGTTACCAGGACAATTACAACGACGGCGGCTGCACCGGGTCGGGGCCGGACGTTGTGTACGCGTTCACACCGCCCTGGAGCATGAGCGTCAGCGTCGACCTGTGCTCAAGGTGAATGCGCTCCCATCGTCTGTCGTCCTCGAGTTCTACGCCTGATTTTGCTGCAATGAGTCTACTTGATTTCAGGTCGCGAGTGGGCTGGCCAAACAGAGTGGATAGAAGAGCAGCCTGTGTTTACTGTGAATCTTGAGAATCACTCGCCTGCTTGCTCTTCGAAGTGCGAATCATTGTCCTCCTTAGCAGGCCCTAAAACCATTTCAGCAAAGCCCAATGTTGTCATCATCAATCGCCAAACCGATGAGGAACCGCCGCGATCGAATCTCTGTCAGTATAGGTCTCACAAAACCCAGGGTTGGCTCGGTCTCAGCGTTTCAAACCGAACGAAGATGATCAAACGGATTATTTTGAAAGGCAAGCAACCTGTCAACCGTTCTGCCCGCCGCCTTCCGCGTCCCAACCGATCGACGAAACGACTAATACCGCAACACTTTCGAGGGGCGAATTGCCTGGGTACTGGTGTCAAAGCCGTCACACCTTGCTTCCCGGCTCTGCAGCACGGCCCACTTTGACACCATGATGGCGATCTACCAGAAGACCGGCTCCGGAACCGCGTCGCTCATCCCTGGTTGGTGTAACGACGACTACTGTTAATTTTCGTTAAATGTGGTGTCAAAATATCAATACCTTTCTCCCCGCCTGTGCAGCACGACCCAGTTTGACACCATGATGGCGATCTACCAGAAGACCGGCTCCGGTTCCGCTTCGCTCATCCCCGGTTGGTGTAACGACGACTACTGCAACGTCCAGAGTGCGATGTACAACCTTCCCATGACCGGGGGCCAGACGTACTACATCGTGGTCGACGGATACAACGGCGCGAATGGGCCGTACGGGATCAACATTGTGACGTCAACCCCACGTGAGCTGGCGTCAGCATTGCCGAGCGCACGCACTTTGTGCACTCGTGTCGCTTTTGTGACCGGGTGGAAAGATTCGATTTTGGAACTCGTAGCTCTCTTTGTCTGGAAGACTCCAAACTTTTGGCCTTTCCTATTTCCGATCTTTTGAGTATAAGAGATCGGGGCCAACGGCCAACTTCGAGTTCTTAATTTCTGTAGAAGCCATTTCTGACTGTTAGCAGCAGGGCGTTAGAGTGGCTCACTATCCCGACTTTCAGTTTACCTGTCTTCACTGTAGCTCCATGCGACCAATCCCAGCCCCGTACCTTTGATGAAACTCGTACAACGCCCGCATACCACTGATCTAACCTTCAAATCCTGAACTCTATTCGACATCCTACATTTTCAAATCCAGAAAGGACTTTTAGATTTTCCTAAGTGGTCTGCTTTTCTGTTGCAGCCCCGTCTGGCCAGGCCTGGCCGCGCAGCGTCGGCGAGATTGTGAACGCGACCGAGGTTCCCGCTAACGTTCCCGCGCCGGTCCAGACCGTCAGCAAGGGCGTGATCACACGCTGGAACTACTGGGTGGCCAAGCAGCAGAACGGAACCAGCGGAACCGGAAAAGGACCCGGAACGGGCGGCCTTTTCTCGGTGTACTCGTGGGTCACCACCGACTGGAGCGCGTGCAGCGCGTCTTGCGGCGGCGGCATGCAGGTGTGAATGCGCTCCACCACGTGCGGGCGTGTGCATAAGCCCTAGAACTCTGGACGGATCGTCAGTGTGCTGAAATCAACTAGCCATTTACAGATTTTCTTAAGCACCGGACACCTTTTGGGATTGTGATTGAGCATTCATTTTCTACAAGGGCTTTGCTGCCCACCTTCAACCAAGTGACGTGTGCCTCTACTGGATGGAGCACAAAAGTCCATTCCACCTTTTGAAAGCGAATCTTGAACCAAGCTCACGCACGCAGAATCTATGAATCAGACCCCCTCAGACACAAACAAGCCAGCCCGAGTGCACGCTCACCCTACAAACCCGCATCGAGTCAAAGCTTACTACTTCGTATCTCACTGGTTCAGACTCGTCTACTCTACAACCCCACGTTCATACATTCTCAACATCTCGCCCCCGTTCCTTTGCAGACGCGGACGGCCTTCTGCGAGGACACCATCGGCAACGTCGTCGACGTCAGCAACTGCGACGCGGACACGCCGCTGACGTCACAGGCGTGCAACCAGGTGGCGTGCCCCGAGTACTCGTGGTTCGCGGCTGGCTGGTCCGAGTGCCCGGTGACTTGCGGCGGGGGAACGCAGACGCAGGCGGTTTACTGCAAGGTGAGAAATTTGGCGACCATCTGGGCAGCTTTTCCAGCGCGCGGTCGCCCTCTTATTCTTCTGCTAGAGTTCTGGAATCTGGTCCGAGTGCCCGGTGACTTGCGGCGGGGGAACACAGACGCAGGCGGATTAGTGCAAGGTGAGGATTGCGGCGACCGTTCGAGGGGCTTCCTTAGCCCGCGGTTGCCCTGCTTTGTCGTCGCTAGGTTTCTAGACTCTGGTCCGAGTGCCCAATGAATTGCGGCGGAGGAATACAGACAGAGACAGTAAAATGCAAGGTAAGGTTTGCGGCGACCGTTTAGGGAGCTTTGTTAGCGCGCGGTTGCCCTGCCTTGGTTTGAAGTCCGGCGAATGAACAGCAAGTGATGTCTCGTCGGCTGTAGAGGCGGCCTCCTACAAGAAAAACTGTTACCTTGAATCTTTGGACTGCGGGGTTTGGGGGATCAGAATATCAGGACTTCTCGGAGCCATTTCGAACTTTCAAACGGGCCTTTTTGGTTGTGGACAAACTATCTAGGAAGAGGTTTTGGATCTGTGCTCGGTTTCGCGGTCTCACAGTGAAGAAATCCGTTTGCGAGGCCCTTTTTCCGGTCCTCCTGTCTTCACCCTTTTCACGAATGGTTTCAAACGACAAGAGTCCAATCCATAAATTGAGCCCAAGATCCTGAAAGATCTTGGAAGGCAATCCCATCAACAAGGTCTCATACGCCTGACAAAATTCGCCTCTACATTCAGCTACTGAAATCCGCCTCTCTCCGTTCCCCCAGGACGCCAACGGCAACCTCGTCGAGGCCTCCGCGTGCGCCGGCCAACCCGCGCCGGCCACGTCACAGCCCTGCGCCACGTCAGCGTGCGGGCAGTACTACTGGGCGGTGCCCGGTTGGTCGCAGTGCAACCGGCCGTGCGGCGGGGGCACGGTCACCCGGGACCTCCAGTGCGTCGAAACGGCGACTGGAAATCTGACCGACGTGGCAAATTGCGGGGGCGCGTATGATGAGAGTGAGCGCCGGACCTGGAACATGTTTGAAAGGCTTGAGTATTTACTACTACTTACATTGCTTTGAGTAGTGATTATAAGGGAGCTCCAATGCGTCGATACCGCGACTGGAAACGTTACCGACGTGGCACATTATGGGGCGCGTATGATGAGAGCGAGTGCCGAAAAGTGAGATAAGTACCGGTTTGGAGGATCGCCTAGCAGATGATGGCTCTGATAAGCGAAGACCTGTTTTTCTGGCGCCTTTTACCTTCAGGCATCCCCGATGCCCTTGTCTCTGTTGATCTTCATAATCTTGATGTAGTTCACAGTCACAATGTTCAAACACTTCCTTCTTCATGATCTTCAGAGACCCCAAATTTCCTCAATAGCCTGCCCCCCGTGATATCTTAAAAAGGCTGACGCTGACGAAGCCTGAACTCCTGTTTCCTTCTCATCTTTGCCCCCCTCCCAGATGCCCTTTTGAAAGTGCCTGGCTATCTCCTCATCAAGCAAAAACAATCGTTTTAACAGTTTCCCCTGACCAGAGTCTTTAACCCCGCAGGTGCCCCGCCCACTTCCAAGCCGTGCAACCTGCAGCCCTGCCAAGCGATCACGTGGCTTGCCTCCCCGTGGGGCGACTGCCCGGTCACCGCTAACTGCAGTTCCGTGCAAACCCGGGTGGTTGAGTGCGTTGACCAGCAAGGGTTAACGAGGGACGGCTCCTTCTGCGACGCCGCCGGTCTGATCAAGCCCGGCGAGACGCAGGGGTGCCGGAGCACCGCGTCGAACTGCGACTACTGCAAGGTGAGTGGCATTATCTTCGACGCCGAAACGTGGCTGCAATAGCCGCTTGATGCTTGATACATCTGTTCAGTGGATGCTCGCAAGGCTGAAAGAAATCTCGAAACAGGGAAATCTCAAAAATTGGATCATAGTGAGAAACGTGGAGACACAATGGATGGAATTGATGAGATTTGTTACGGTAAATGGAGGGAACATACAGGATAGATGCTCCAGGGAGACCTGTAACGAAATTCACGCGTCGTTCTTCAAGACTCGGTCTGGTTTTGTAGGGACTCGCCATCTGGGCCGGAACGGGCTTGCTTCTGTTTTGGTCACGTCATAACGAAAAGCATTGCTCTTCTCTTGGTAGCAGATTCTCACACTGTTCCCTCTCTTCCCGCAGAACTGCTCCGGCCACGGCACCTGCATCAACCGGTCGTTCTGCCAGTGCGCCCCCGGCTGGAAGGGCGACCTCTGCGAAACCCCGACCACGTGCCCAGGGATCCCCTCCGGGGCCGAAGGCGGCACGTGCTGCCTCTCGGGAGTCGTGGGCGCGCGCGCGCAGTGCTGCGCGGCCGCGGCCGCGGTCGTGGACGCCGCCGGCGAGTGCTGCGAGAGCGGACACGTGGACGCGTGCGGAGTGTGCGACGGGGCGTCGACGAGCGTGGACGCGCTCGGGCGCTGCTGCGCGACGGTGCGCGACGAGAAGGGCGTTTGCTGCGCGAGGTGAGGGGGTTTGGGGGGTTCGGGGAACCTCAGAGATCTGGCCTGCCGCCGCTATTGTTCAGGGGGTGTGCCATTCTGAGAATTGAGATATTGCGGATCGAGGTCTTTCCATCTAGCGGCTTTCGGTGCAAGGACTTAGAGGGTCGGAAGATCTTGTTGGAGATTAGCTTGTCTGATTGAGCTTATAGAGGGTCACAAAGCGGTGGAGCGAAAGAGTGAAGAATAGAAATGTCTTCTCGCTTCTTACCCCGTTTTATCTTCTGCCTCAGAGGTGCAAGCAAAAGCATGCCGTACTGAACTCCTCTCCGTCGAGTCTCTGCAGCGGCCAACTGGATGAGTGCTCCATCTGCGACGGTGACGGCACGAGCTGCGTCAGCATGGTGGGCGTCACGCTTGACGTCAGCGGGGGCGCGGCCCCGTACGCGGACAACTCCTCCGCCTACTACGCTCCCTTCCAGCTGGACTTCAGGAAGCGGGTTAGTGCGCTAACCCTCGGTCTGAGTTGTGTGCTTGCGTGCTATTTACATCAGGAAGGATTTTGGAAAAGAGTCAGGCAAAACTTTTGTGAGATCGAGAAGCCCTTCGGCTGACTTCGGCTTCTCCGTTTCAACCCGAATCTCCGTAATCCCTTTGGTCGAAGTTGTGACAAGAGTCTGGTCAACGTGAAAGAGCTGTTCTGTTTGGTCAAGGCAAACGGTCTGAGCTTCGAAGGATTGCAAATCTTGAGCATGGAGTCCGGGAACAGAAAGCGGGAGTTTTTTTCTGAGACTGGCTGGGACTGATTCCGCTTATCGGAAGAAGTGCATCTGCAATCAAGTTTTCTTAGCACAAAGGCTCGTGAGGTACTGTAGCAATTTTCAAAAGTTCAAAGCTTCAGCAGCTTCCGCCTGCAAATTTGTCCCACTCCGCTCTGCCTGTCGCTGGCCGATTCTTAAGCCGATCTTCAAACCCCGTTTTGCTCTTGCAGCTCGCGGCCGCGGTCGGCGTCGCGCTCGAGGGTGTCGCCGTCCGCAGCATGGCCGTAGATAACAGCAACGGCGACCTGCTGGCCATTGAGAGCACTGTTTCCGCAGTTGGGCTGACCGCGGGAGCCGTGATCACACACGCGGCCGCGACTCAAGCAGCTTTGACGCTGGTAAAGGGAGTTTTAGAGTTTTAGGTTTTGAGATTAAGGTTGGGCTGGACCATTTTGCGATCCGACCTTGGTTCCTTGTGGTTACAAAAACCTTGGAGCCCCTGTGGCTGATTGTTGGGTCTCGTAAGATGATTCGACTTGTTTCTCAGATGACTGCATTTTCCGTGTCCTTATCTGGGTGAATCGTACTTCTCTAAGAAGTTCCTCAATTTTGCATTCGTAATAATGGAGGTTGTGCTCTCCTTTGGATGCTTACTTCTTTCGATGCATCTCAAAGGGGGCCTTTTTTCGTGCTTGGCCAATCGGACCTGCTCTAAGCGGGTCCTTTTGGCTGGGGGCAGACTACCCGAGCGCCGCCTGAAGGAGCCCGTCGCCAATTTAACTTTCAGAGAGGATCACGTCTTTGGCTCTTGTTTCATCCCTCGTTCCTTCGTTCCGTCGTTCGTTCTTCGTTCGACGCTTTGATCCAACCCGCTTTTGCCACTGTCCGTCTTCCGCTGCATTCGATCGGCCGAAACTCCGACGGACAAAGCCTGCGGCTGCTCGGCGCAGCTTAACCACTCATCCCACGCTGACCGCTTCGTTCCAAACCGCTTTAATGCAAGTCGCTTCATTCAAACCGCTGAATTCAACCCGTTCCGTTATCCGCTGCAGTTGGTCGGCCAGAATTCCGCCGGAAAGAGCCTGTGGCTGTCCGAAGCGCCCCTGCATTATCCTTCACTGACCAGCACTTCCTTCTGAAAAGCGTCAACTCATCCGTTCCGTTTTCCGCTCCATCCGGTCGGCCAGAACGCCGACGGACAGAGCCTGTGGCTGCTCGGCGCTGCTCTAAGTACTCAGTCGTCGGTTCAGTTCAAAAGCACAAACCTCTTCAATCAACCTCTTCCGTTCTTCCGCTGCAGTCGGTCGGCCAGAACTCCGACGGACAGGACCTGTGGCTGTCCGGCGCGGCCCTGACCGCCGTGACCCACGTGCAAAAGGCGGGCGTCTGCGGGAACGGCATGTGCGAGCTCGGGGAACGGTGCACCGCGCAGGGAACAAGCGCGACAATGGGGAATGACACCGACCCGGTGACTGGCCTACCGGTCGCTTGCTGCTACCAGGTGAGGGGCTGGGTGGGTGGAGAGAATTGGGAGGTGCGCTTTTCGGAGGTGGAATCCTTCAGAATTGCAGGACCTTGCTCGGGCAGTTTGTATGGGGTTTCAGCATTTTCCTTTCAAATCATGAGTTTATGAGTCAACTCTTTCTTGGAGAGCTGGTATATTGTGACGGACCGATCGAGTTTCAAATGCTGATAGTAACATGCTTGACATCGCTCTTGAGAGGAAATCAAAAATATGCTCTTCTTGTTGCAAATACTAGTGCTCCTGTCGTTATGAAATGACCGCGCTGCCGAGGCGTTTGGCAGAACGATCATGAACCAACGCCCTTTCGCGAAGTTTCAGTCGAAAGTGAAGCACGTTTCCACTTTCCCCCTCGCTACTTGCATTCACCCAAATCTAAAGCGGCAAGATAGAAGACACAAATCCACTATTTCTGGGCATCTTCTCCGCAATCGGAACTCGCTATTTCTTCCTCGCGCCCTCCATTCAAGTTTTCCACCTCTCATACTCCTTCCTTCTCCCCAGGACTGCCAATTCGTGCCCATGCTCTGCCCCGCCCCCGCCCTGGGGGCCCGCGCCGGGCAGCCGTGCGCGGGCGCGGGCCGCTGCCTCGACTCCACCGGTGTTTGCGACTGCTTCACCGGTCACGCCGGCGCCGATTGTTCCCAGTGCGCCGACGGCTGGTCGCTTACCCAGACCGGTTTATGCGTCTTCCGACTGGACGGCTCCCTTCTCGCCCAGCCTAGTTCGCCCACCGTGGGATCCCCCCCGAGCCGCGGAAACACCACCAACGCGACAATCCTGGACGTCCCGACCGGCAGCGGCAGCGGTAACGGCAACGGGTCGTCCGGCGGGAACGTTACAGCGCCCCCGGCCCGGCACTACAACGCGGCGCGGCACTGGGGGATCGGGTTGGGGGTCTCGCTTGCGATGGGGATCGGGTTCCCGGGAATGGTCATCGGGGCGCTCCTGGTCTATGTTCACTGCTTCAAGAAGCGGTCGGCTGGCACCCCCCGGGCGATGGTCAGGCCCGTGAGCGAAGCAGAGGAAGCGGCGACGGTTGCAACGCCCGAGGAAGCCGCGGCCGCGGCCGCGGAGGCGGCGAAGAAGGCGCGCGGCAAGGCGAAGCTGCCGGAGTATGAGGAGGACGATAGGCTATCCACGATCAGGAAGTCGGACAACCACAGGCCCGAGCCGGAGATTGTGGAAGTCAGTTCCGGCAGGCAATGAGCGCGGTAACACGAGGTTGGGTTTCGGATATATATGCGCTTGAGATCAACCACAGCGTTTGGAAGGCGCACGATCAGCTGGAAAGGCTGCCCTTTTTTGTTTAGAAAGTTATCGGTGGTGGGTCTCGCAAGAGAAAACAAGTATAAGGAGTGCAGGCTCCGGCCATTGAGAAGTTAGGTGGATGATCGACCGTTCAAACTGTAACTTAAGCGCGGCTGCAACGGGCCAGTTTACTTATTGCATCAGTAGAAAGATAGTGGAGGAAAGTGATCAAGTAAGTTCAATCAAATATGTACCACCCGGCAAGAACGCTCGACTATGACTGCGCAGACGTAGCGGAACGCGGACGCACGAGACATTCCATGATACCGATCCGTGTTCATGTGGACCAAATGAAAACTGGCCCGTGTATAGCGACTGTACGGGATCCGATTGGGACGACTTGGGTATACAGACCGTCTCTTTTGCATTCCATCGATTGCGCTAGCTGTACGATTATATCAATCTACGTGCTCTTCTAACATTCCAACGATCGATCCTTTTGGTTTATGCAGATTGATCGATGCCTTCGATCAAGCCAGCTATTCTAGCTTTTCACGATCTGATCCGTGCCCAAAATAATCGTTAGCAATGCCCATGTACATATGGCCTATGACTCACAGGCTGTAGCTCAAGCCTTGTGGAGGGTTGACGGTCCGCAAACAATCCACAAGGGTGATGGCTCGTACGATGCAATTCTGCATATCGTCTGTCGAACTTAGCCCTACACACATGGGCACAAATCGGAAAAGAGATTCTATTAGTAAAGTACTGGTCGGAGGCGGCGGTTGACATTCACCGTCATTACGACACGTACGTCGGAAGATAGGCTCAGCTAGTTGCGCTCGGTCACGGCCGGGGCGGCCATACGGCCGGTGAATGATTGGTAAAGGGTTATGCATTTACGTGCCTTCGAAAGGGTTATGCAAATGACGTCCTTTCGAAAAAGGCAGAAGCTTAGCGTCTGCCCAGCTGAAATGCCTCGCGCATTAGAACAGTTCTGATCGACCATGTATGTTCCACGTTCTTGGAAGAATCTGGTCGTGAGCTACAAAACTCGCGGCCGGTTCCGCACTGAGCGAACTTTCCTACCATGTACAGTTTCAAGCAATCAATCCTACCATGTACTGGAACCTGCTAACCTTTGAAATCGATCTCAAGATGGTACTGTCAAGACTTGCCGCATTAAGTAAGATTCAAGAACGTGGAAAAAATTTATCCAGGCTCGCTTTTCCTCTATAAGAATACTAGCTGACAATTGCACAGATTCCTCATCACTTCCACCTATTCACGCGCTCCACTTCATGCTGCTCCTCGGTGCAGTAGTCCCACATGGACGCACTCTTCTCATCGGGCTCGTCTGAGACCTTCTCCCCCGTCAGAATGAGATCACCAAAAGGAGTCTTCATCGTTCCCTCGATTTTATCGCCGTGGAACTTGAACGTGCCCTTTTGATCGCTGGCGCACTGAATCTCGCCTTCGCCAGTCTCCCGCCCGCGCCATTGGTAAGCATACGTTGTCTGCAAAGAAGAGCACGTCATAAGTCCTGAAAACGAGTGGTGAAAAGTTGGTCTTGCTACTGTAGTATTAGGTTAAAGAAACCAGAGCCGGCAGAAACCGAGGTGTCCTGCGTTTCAACTTCTGATGTTGGATCGGGAGCCAAAAACGGAGCTCTGACAAAAGTCTACCGATTATCAGAAGATCCCTCGCACTGTGTCTCCTTAATAAATCACAGTGGCTCCTTTCACCAACTCTCCTGCAGAGAAAGTCATGGGTGCATGGAAAAGGAAGAAAGTTTTTCTTGTCTGCGGAACGTCTTCCGTACTTGTTCTCAGCACTCCAGAAGAACCAGGCAGAGTGGCCGACCCTAATGGCCGCGAACTCATATGCATTCCTTACCTGCCCCTTGCTGACGGTGCGCTTTCCGAACTTGGCACAACCCTCCACAGTCTCCAGCTCAAACCGCGCCCAGGTGTGCCCCCCGCTTTCAAATACGGACATGGAATACTCCTCCGAATCTTCATCATCCGCCTCGTAGCTCCCAAACATGCCCTGCAAAACACTGCAAAGTCTCAGTTCCTCTCAGCTGCTCTCAAGAATCCTTTTTCGAACACTTCATGTCTCTTTCATGTTTTATCACAACTAGGATCGTGCTGCATTTGGGCAGCATCAAAAAGCGCCAGTGGCACAATAAACTCCCCAAACCCTGAAACGGGACTCCACCCTTGCAACTATATTGAAGATATCTGACCGGAGCAGGAGAGAGAAATAGTCGGAGAGAATATTTCAAGACTGGGCTTACACCCAATCACTAAATCATTTAATAGATGTGGTAATGAAGGCTACAGACACCCTCTGATTTATCAGGAACAAAATTGTGCTGATTGTACGAGCTCCAAGACAGGTCTTTCTCAAGTCAGCGTGCAACAGCTCAATCCACAAATTCGAGTCCAAGCGCACTTTATATCTGGGTCGCCTGGTCCACTACGACAAGCAGCGGCTGCCAATGCAGATTCAGCCTCTCTAACAGAGGAAGCCCAGCAAGTGGTGAATCAAGACTGGCCTTATGACTTGCTTTTTGGATGCTGCTTATCGACGGCTGTGGTTCACACCTGTCCGGTTCAAAAAGTCTTTTGAGGCAGCTACTCAGGAAAAAGAAAAGGAGGAACCAGAAAAGTACCAGTATGCATGGGGAATCTAACAAAGTGGAATCGGGAGGGAAGACAAAAGAACACGTACCCCGCTGCTGCGCTCCTCGGTCACCTTCAGAGAGTACTCTCCAACAACACTTGTAGAAGCTTTCCTTCCCTGCAGAGAGAAGAACATGAAACAGAAGGTCGGTTATCATCTCTCCAACAGTGGTTCAACAAGGCCCTGCAAGCTCCATCAGCAGCTACAATAACCAGCATCTTCAAATGGACCAGTTTTGATCAGACTCTGCAGGAGTTGTTGGTTTTCGCTGCTGGTTTCTGTAGGATGTGGCACCGCAGTTGCATAGTCACCGATGCAGCCCACGTCAGAATCTGGAAGGTCTGGTGAAGAAACTGGTATAGTAGTATATGCAAAGTATGCTTTTCATCAGCTTGAAGACATGGCAGCTTGCTACAAGAAGAGCGCGTTTGCACATCTTGAGTTCTTGGAGCAGTCCAACTGCCTAATTGGACTGCAAGCTGATTGCAGATCACCAGCGTTTGGTGATTCTGTTGCTTCAATACCTCCATCGTTCCATTGCTCCATTGGTTCCTGGCAGTTGCTCTACAGCCAGCCAGAGGTGGAACATAGTCCCAAGGTACGCGCTAATGAAAGACTTTGGTCGGTCAGGACCTGATTGGGCATCGTAAGCTTTCCAAGCTGCCGGAACTCTCATAGTGTGCTCCAAGGCTTGCCGTGCAACGTGATGATCAGACTCGATTTGGGTGGAGTCACCAGCTCATTAAGTGCACCTTGCACTCGATGCACCCTCGATGCAATCAACCACTTTCAGCCACTGAAAACTCTCATCAAAGGAGAAGCTCACTCTTCTTGGACTGACCCACAAAGCACAACGCTGCTCACCCCTTTTGCCGGCTTGGCAGCTGGTTTGGTTGCAGCTTTCTTTTTGGCATTGCTTGTCTTGGTCGGTTGCGCTTTCTGCAGAGTGGTTTGATCCCTCTGGATGCCGTAAGAGGACGCAGGGTTTCGCTTGGAGAACTCCCGCCGCGCGGTCGCTTTGGTGCGGGCCATCACAATGTACCGCTTCTTGCACCCTACAGGCGGCCTGCCGACATTGAGAACTGGAAGACTCAGACGACAACTTGAAGCTAGGTAGGCAAACAGTAAAGTTCCCTCCCTCTAGCTGTGATTGAGATTCCTAGCAGAGATTCCTAGCAATGTTTCGCGCCTTGCTCAAGTGAGACAACTTGAAGTTGAAGGCCTGGTGCTGATGAAAATTGAAATGGCTGGTGAGACGGGAGCAGCAGGCTTGATTTCTGATTTCTCCCGTTTTGAGGGGGAGTGCGTAAGCAACGATCATCACCAGCTTAACCAATTGTAGCATGACATGTGGCTCTGCTTCGTAAGCCTAGGACCGTCAGATTCGGATGGGGCAGCTTTTGGACGGCGCCCGATTGACATGACGTCACTGCGCTCGAGCAACGTGAGCCAGACGTTTTGTTTAGGAGCGGCTCTTGAGGACAACTTGAGCGAGATTGTGACCTCACGTTTGACAACAACAACACTGTTTCCCATGCTGCAAATTGCAATGCACCAAACTCTTTCCACGAGCAAAGTCTTCTCAAATCTCTTTGCATTGATCGCGGGACCAACAGCGTTTTGGAGCCCAAGAGGGAACAGTGCTTACGTGTGTTGTTGCCCTAGCTCTGAGGCGCGACGCCGCACTAGAAAACAGAGGGCTAGCGGTTCCACAACAATGGCGTCGGCGGCACAGATGGCGCAGGGGTCTGCGCTTAAGCAGAGCAGTCTTCAAGGTATTGTTCTGCTTGAAAATCCCGCATTGCTGCTCATGGAAATACCTGTTAGCTGCCACCTTTCTCAAACTGCTTAGGTTTCACATTGCTCGTGTCAGGAGCAATGTGAGGGATGTCAGCATTGTAGGCATTCACCAAAACATTGGTACATTACAGAGATTGGCAAGATCTGCTCAGCAGGCGGCATTATGATCAGCCACCGCTCCATGTCAACTGTGCCTTTCTGAACGCTGACATTATGCTTTTGTGTCCATACGCCCGGTGCTTTCATTGCTATTTGCGTAGTCGCAACCTCCTGTTGACCAGAGTTTTACATTCAGGCCTGAAGTAGTTCACAGGCCACGTCAGGATTGCTTGTGCCCTGCAAATCTCGACTATGAAACCCTATCTGTGGAACCAGTTTTGGGGTAGTGAATTTACTTTGAGATTAGAAAATGAGCAACCCTTAAATTCCCAGTCTTGTGATTTGCCCCTTGGCACCCGCACCCACCTTGACCAATACACGTATCCACCCCATTCGAATACGTGACGAACCCCTTCGTATTCTACTCGCCCATCAACATGACGTTACAACATTTCCCAAGCCACTCACCTTCATATTACCCCTCTTCTGCAGCCTCCACCTTCGTGGGTGCGGCGCCAGCTGGCAGCCTCTCATTGGCCGGCAGGGCTATCCTGCCCGCCAGGAAGGCCTCTGCTGGCCGGCCAGGCATTATGATGACAACCGCTTTCGAGAAAGAGAACCAGTATGCGGAGGAGTTGCGCAAGACGGCCGCTTACATTGGCGCGCCCGGGAAGGGCATTTTGGCGTCGGACGAGAGCAACGTGACGACGGGGAAGCGGTGAGCCAAAACTCTAGGGTTCTCAGATTAGGGTTCTGGTCTTAGACAGGCAGTTGACTAGACTCAATATCCCTGGAAGTTGTGCGTTTTCCGACAGTCAGCTCGGCAAAGTCAAGGGTGTCAAACAAAGCGACAGACATTCTCCATAAGCCTCTTCTTTGGAGATCAATGATACTGCGCAGGGATCTACTGCCCTACGAGTGGGACAAATAGGTGTCACGAGTAAAGCGGCACATGTTTGAGACTGCTGCTCAGCGACAACGTGCTTAGAAGTAAGAGCATCTGAGAGGGGTCTACTTTCAGCTGAAAGGCCTCTTTGAACTCCTGGGCCAAACACTGACATTATAAGCACCTGCCAATGCGCTTGCTGTTCGTCCATTCCTTGAATCGCTTCCCCATCAACGCAGACTCAATTCACTTTGGGCATTGGGTGCAAGTTTGCACAAAGGTCGCTTTTGCTTACCCTCATAGCCGGTCAATTTTGCATGTCAATTCAATCCAAGATATGCCTAGCGACCCTCTTGCAACTGAAATAACTGTGAAGCTCAAGCCCCCTCTTGGCTGTCAGCACCGGATGTGAGCACAAAGCCAGCCCTAGAGCCGGCTAAGTCAGATACAGCAGCCAAACATTATGATGGACCCACATCTTACTGACCTCCTGAAATTACCACACCTCATGTGTGCAGGCTTGGAAGCGTGGGCATCGAGAATACCGAGGACAACCGCCGTGACTGGCGCCAGCTCCTCTACACCGCCCCTGGGCTCGGGCAGTACATTAGCGGTGCAATTCTCTTCGACGAGACGCTGTTCCAGTCGTCCGCGGACGGCGTTCCGTTCGTTGAGATCCTCCAGAAGCAGGGGATTGTGCCAGGGATCAAGGTCGATACGGGGCTGCAGCCAATCTACGGGACCGACGGGGAGACGTCGACGCAGGGGCTGGACGGGCTGGCTGACCGTTGCAAAAAGTAAGGGCAAAAGAAGTCAGGTTTCTTGCATGAAAAATAGTCGCAGTCTGTCAGTTCCAAGAGTCTCGTGAAGGTTTCTGTGCAACGGACGAGCTTGGAATCACAGTTCGTGAAGCCGTTGTGCTGAAACGCTTGGACTCTTTGTACTTTGCATAGACATGAGATGTTCATGGTTTCCACTTGATTGGGCCAGGCAGGGATCCAGCGCCAGATTCAGGACAGACTCTTTGCACAAACTGCGAGCTGACAATCACCAAATAATGAAATGCCGGAAGCACTGCCTCCGGACCACCTCCGAATTCAAGCCAAGCATTTCAAGACTTCACAATTGCTTGCGTGCACAAATCTGGGAAGAAGGTCGTTTAGTATAAAGTCAATCGACCATCACAACTAGTTCGACCCTTTGTACACCAAGATTCCAAAACCCCCCATAGGTACTACACTCAAAGCCGTGCTTCGCCAAATGCTAGAACTCCGAAAACCCCTGATTTCCAGGTACTATGCTCAAGGTGCCCGCTTTGCAAAATGGCGCGCAGTCCTGAAAGTTGACAGCTCGGTGCACCCGTCCTCGACGGCCATTCTAGAAAACTGCCACGCGCTCGCGCGCTATGCGCAGATCTGCCAGGCCAACGGGCTGGTGCCGATCGTGGAACCGGAAGTGACGCTGGGCGAGGGGGACTACAGGTATGGAAATGGGTTACGATGCTGTTTCCATTCTGTGTGGAACTTGATCAGGGACGAAGACCTTTTTCTTAGGATGTTGCCAGCCTTTCCCCTCTCTGCTGATGGTTGTAGTGCGCAGAGCTTTACGAGCGCTCTGGATGGAGCGAAGACATAGTGAGGAAGAATAGGTGGACTCCGAAAATGTGCGGCCAACTTGCGGGTCATGCACCTCAAGATTAGGTCAGAAACACTTCGACACGGATCGTGATTTTGGTGATCCTCCATCAACCTCTCATCACGCGGTTCTCTTCCTCTGCATTGGGACAGTGTCCGACCCTCTTAATGGGTCTTATAGAGCGTGCCCTGACCATTGCCCGGTAAACTCTTTCCCCGCAGCATCGAGCGCACCGCTTACATCAGCGAGAAGGTGAACAGCCACACCTTCCGGCTGCTCAACGAGTATGACGTCATGTTGGAGGGCATCCTTCTGAAGCCCAACATGATCCTGCCCGGCCTCGACGTCTCGACCCCCTCCCCCGAGGAGGTCGCAAAGTACACCGTCCGGACCATGCTCCGGAGCGTCCCTGCCGCAGTCCCCAGTGAGTGCCGCCGGGTGCTTTCTGTGCTTTTCAATTTGTTAAGACCTTAAAAGCTGTTTACTTGACTTCATAGATCTATTCAAAAGTAGGTGGCGTGTGCTCCCTTTTCCTCCTCTTGCGGCCTTTGCGTTGCTGCACGGTGTGGACAGTCCTATGAGATTCTCGAACCCTTTCGTTCGGTGTCTTGATGCGCCGGGGGCAATGCACAAAATAATATCGACAGAAGATAGGCAAGGTTGCTTCAGAAGATACCAGACTTTGTGATTTGATCTTGGATGACTTGAGTGTCACCGTGACAGGAGTATCAGTGACATCAGCGACTATATAAGCGCTGCAGTCAGCGGATAGAGTTGTGAAGCCTCCTGAGTAACGAAAGTATCACGCTCGCGCTTCACCTTCAGCCTTGCGGTGCCTCGTCCAGGCAGGCAGAGCAGCGAGTAGGTAAATAGAACGCATATCGCCCCGTGCAGCCTCGTAAATCGGGCGTCTTGCTGCATGTCGTGAGCACACTAACGAGCTTGAGTCCTGAGGGCGGGTTGTAAGGGGCAATTCTGTGAGCCGTCCGATAGCTCCAACTCACCTGTTAACATCCTCAGATACCTGGTGCAACTTCTCGTACGCAGTTGCTCAAACTTCGAATTTCCACCCGCAGGCATCCATTTCTTGTCCGGGGGCATGAGCGAAGAGGAGGCAACACTGAACCTGAACGCCCTCCAAGCGTACGGCCCTTACCCCTGGTCGCTCACCTTCTCCTACGGACGGGCTCTTCAGTCGAGCACGCTCAAGACGTGGTCGGGCAAGGTGAGCTAGTCTCTCTGCGAACTCGGTTTGTTTCTCGATAGAAAGAGTGGTTTCGTCTCTCTTTGAAATTCGTTGTCTCGAAAGCTGGGAAAATGAGAGAAAAGCTGGTCTGGTGCGACAGGGCGCTCCAGTCGAGCACGCTCAAGACGTGGTCCGCAAGGTGAGCTGATTTTGTCTTCTCATTCAGCGTTTCTCTCATTCAATCTTAGGGTTTCTTCCGACATTCGAGAACTTCGAAACCCGGAAGCTGACGAGCCAGTCTTTCAAAAGCATGAACGACGCCTCCCGACCGACTGAAGGGCGCTCAATACGTGGTCGGGCAAGGCGGGTTGCTCTCTTCGATCACGTCAGGAGGAAGGAAGAGAAGTATACACAATATAAAGCTCAAAAAGAAAGAGATTTGTGGATGTCTGCGAGATGCAGTTTCACTCTGGCGGCGCTCTTCTTTCTGGCCTGGCAATCCGGTCCCTTAAGCATGCAGACCGCGTATCTTCACGTCCTTGTTCCGCATTTCGGTCAACTGCATACTATACTATACCAGATCGTGTAAACACCGTCGTTTATAAGATTTGTGCCGTCCTTTGCGTGTATTGCGCGCACGCTGATGCATCTGCAGCAACTCCACAGAGCGACTTTTGAATACAATTTGCCGCGGCCCACCGCTGAGTGCTGATGTCAGCAACTGCCACGTGCTCACCGAGACGACGAGCGTCGGCAGTAGTTGCCTTCCTGTGAATGCCGTCCGTTTATGCCCTCTCAAGCATACTGTGTTCCAGAAACGCCCCCGACTTCTCAAAACGTTGAATCATCAAGATTCTGAAGCCCTGTAATCTGGTTGAATCAATACAAGACCACCGGCTGCAGCTTCTTCACACCCGCCGTCTACTCCTTTCCCAGCATCCTTCTGTGTCGTTCTGAGTCTCTCTCCTTCTTTTGCAGCCCGAGAACATTCAAGCCGCTCAAGAAAGACTGGTGGCTTTAGCAAAGGCAAACTCCGAAGCGCAGGTGAGCGCTCTTGCTGTGTGCTTTTACTTCTTGTTCCCGACCTGAGACTATTTATTCGCGACAGCAAAGCGTACGTTTGGCAGAGACTGACATCGTGTAGCAGACTCAGTCGAGGACGTGTCCGGCAATTCTTTTGTTTGGCTAAAGTTTGAAACACGAAACCCGGCGGTTATTCTGTAGCTTGATCAGGTCAGCCTTCTGAGCGCAAAGGATCGAGTTCTTGGACCCGCACTAGTTAGACGCATTTTTCCAGACCTTGATGCCAACTGAGGTGACAATGTGAACTGGAGTCTGCTTGAGGATGACGTCATGCTTCGTTTACTCGCGTGCAGCTGGGCAACTACAAGGGCCCTCACCCGTCACCTGGGGGTGGCCGAATCCTGCAGGCGTTGAGGCTCGGGGGAGCCGGAAAGTAACAAGGGACGAGTTGCTGACCTCTCGAGTTGCTACGGTGCTTAAATGTGTTGACTCTGATTAGCCAGGCCTTGTTAGGACAGGAGTATCACAGGCCATGCCATGGGCCAAATTGGCCAAAGCCAGATCGGGCATCGAAGGATTGCGCACAATGCGCGACAATTGCACGAAGAATCTTTTGCTCTCTTGATGATCCTCACCGATCGCGACCTATTGTGAGTGATCATCGGCCTCAACTATCCAGAAGGAGGAACCCCGATTACTTGTTGGCCGTGCCCTTATCTTCCAGTTGGGCTGGACATACTTCCGGACCAGTTCAAGTTACTAGTGCTTGCATGAGGCTGACACAGCAAAAATGTGGCGGGCGATAGTTATGTAGTGGATATAATCTAGGCGTGCAGAAAGCTTGAGTCAAGGCCGCTGCGCGCTGCCTGTAAGAACCTGCCTGGTGAGGTCGATTGCATGTATGTTATCTGTGTATAAGTGAGCACGTTCGACGACGTATCTTTACCGTCACGCCCAGGCACTAGCTTGCATGACTTTATCCTCCGGTGTAGTTTTCTGTTAGCGACGGTCGCATGTCGGATCGCTATCTGCTAGCGCAGGCTTTGCATGTGAGCAGCTAGGGCCGTTTGCGCAACGACTCAAAGCATATTCGGGCTCAGCATGTGCCTTAGTACTTCCTCGATATAGTGCTGCCACGGCGAACGCCGGTTGTGCGCGGAGCGCGCATTGCAGTTTGCCATGAGGCAATTGCATGAGTCAATTTCGAGGTCCAGTACATCATGAGATTTGTTGCTCTCCAATCGCGAGCTACCCTTTGATTCTTTTACTAATTACGCTTTGAGGTCGTCTTCCTGCATGGTGACATCAGATCCAGCGGACGTCATTGTTGAAAAAGCTTTCGATCTGAACTCGATTCTGCTCGCACGTACGCACCTAGTCGTAATTGAAGCTCCCCTCCGGTCGTCTAGCTAACTAATTCTTGATTGGATGCCAGATCTTGAATATCGTTTGCAGCTTTCCTTCGGATCCAAAGAGACTCATCATTCGCAAAAGTGTCTGCGACTCCGACGTTAAGATTGCATGCCTTGAACTTGAAGTTCTTGCCGTTTCCAAATTCCGACAATTACCCCCTTCGACCCGAGTGCGGCGCAGCCCGACGCAGCCGGGCCGGGCCTGCCCCGATGGCGCGCGACCAAACCTCTGCCAATCGTTCCGCCAAACCCTGCCCGCCGAAGCGTGGCGCCGCGGCGCGGCCGACGAGATACGCGACCGCGACTTTCTCTGAACGTTGAACGAACAAGTCAACCGGCTTTGTAAGTGTGACGAGGAGCTATCTCAGTCTGAGCCGGCGCAAGCTCAGCAAACTCTTAGAATCAGCGAGCTTGATATCAAGAACTTGAAGAGGCGGTGGAGTGGCCCCCACGAAATCAACTATGAGCAATCAAGTAAGCACAGTGGCCAGGAGCGCCACTGCGGGCTCGGTGCTCAGATTAGCATTCAAGGTAAGCACTTGCACTGGAGGTTTCCGTCAGGCTTAGGAGCGGCGGCCAATATCAACCTGTAGCTGCCTTAAGCACAGTTGAACAAGAATGACAGTCAGCTTGTCCGACAGATGAACGACAACATTCCAGCAGGCTGCTGAAAGACCCATCATAGTCATCATGAATGGGTCCTATAAACCAAGGCCTTCGTGATTTGATTGAAGTTCCAGCATGTGATCCACTTGAAACCAGGATCGTTAAGTTTGTTCAAGCACGTCAAGTAGACTGTTCAAGCAAGAAGCCTCGGTTCAAGCGACTTAAACACAAGAATGTTAGTGAAGAAAGCGGTCAATATGTTTCAGGAAGGTAGCGGCTTGAATCACGAAGATCCACGCAGCGGTGAAGGGCTCAACTCACGTTACCCAGAAAAGTAGGCACCTGTTCTAGAGTGCCGTGTACTCTTACCGCATGTTCCAGCGGCGACGATATCACTGGTAGAGGGCATCAGCTAGTCTTACATAATGTTAATGGCGTTTCCAGCCCGGTGCTCGTGACAGCCTTGGCATGAGCTAAAGTCCCAAGTTTCCGCAGTGTGCCAGCAGCGGAAACCAGTGGCTAGTATTATTGGCCGCACGGAAGATCCTGCCTTTCGCTGGGTCAGCAGTTGTGCTCAACTCTGTTGGTAATCGTTGCTTCTACCACTTTAATTAATTTGAATGTCAACTAATCTGTAAATCCAATTTGCACGATATTCCGTAAGTCCCCTGCAAGTCAACGCGAAGTACACAACTTGTGTCTGGCTGCTTTCACATCGCTCCCAGCTAGACTACCTTGACGTTATCGCGTTCGATCGACCCCAAGTCTTGACTAGCGGTTTATTCGAGGTACAGAGCATCTAACTCTTGCCAGCTTAATAATAGTACTTACACCGTAGGCGGGTTCAGCTGTGCTTTTTTCGCCCGATAAGTCCTTCATTTCTGAGGTGCCTCCTCCAAGTTTCTCATTCCGCTGTTTTTGGCACCGCCATGCAGGTTCTTGTAGCCCCAATCTTGGGAACTGCGCTTGCGGGCGGGATCGTAGGAGCGGCCTGGCCTATTGCAGGCCGCCTTCTCGAAGGTCCAAAAGGTTCAACGGAGTACTGCACAACGCCCGAGTCCTGGCCTGACACTTTTCGTCTAGCTTCAAGGATGGGCTCAAGCGGCGCGGTTTTCTTGGGAAGTTGCAGTGCAGCTTCCACGGTCTTTGTGCTTGGTTTTTGTTAGAAAGGCTTCATTCACAAAAAGGGAGACGCTAGCTCGTATTCGACGGACACTTTGCCCTCGTTTTTTGGATGCTCCACAGCTGCTTGAATCTTTGATTAGAAAAGAGAAACGGTCAACTTTCGTTTTAAGTTGAGTTTCGACAATCAAGAGTGGCAAGAGTGGCAAAGCGAGAAGCAGTGCCCCCTCCTCAACCAGGAGCTACGAGTGGCATGATTTGGAGATTGTGTTACCAAATGCGACCGACGCAAATGCTCTGTCTACTAAGGAAATGTTGTACCGCAGCTCTGCATATGTGACCCGGTGGAAACGGTGCACGTTGATTCGATGTTAATGTGGTTTCAAGAGCGAACGTGCGCAGTTCGCAGGGGCTTCTGAATCCGTACATGATGGCCTCGCAATTGCTCTTCGAGCAGATGATAGATGTGTAGCACGCCTTACTTGCTCTGACACCGAGCATTAGCGGAGCCGGTGATGCTCATCAGAGTTCACCCAGAGAAAGCTCTTGTCTGGTTCCGGTCTGATCCGTCTCAAAAACCTGCTCGTCGCTTTAAAGTCTGCCTTTCCTAAATGACGTGCACGCGCCATCACTTTTTTCAAATCAATTCTGCAGTACACTCTGCGGCTCAATCTCATTTCCCGACGGCGTTCCCACTTACTTCGGACATTGTCAGATCAGTTACACCTATCAGAGTTGGCTCGAGCTAGGGACTGGGACCGAGTCCAGACGAGGGAAATAAACCAAGTCTCAGACAGGATAATGGCCAAAGGCTTTCTCTTAATCGAGTCACAGTAGTCACGTCTCCAGCCGCTGTGCAATGAAGCGAAGGGCGACCGACCGCGTGTGGCCGGCCCGCTGAAAAGGTAATCCAAGGACCGCAACAGCCGGGGCGAAGTTTACGTCATCTTTCACGTCGTGGTCGGCGTTTCCACGTCAGCAGCTGATGTGGCTTCGGGTCTGGGGACGGAGCAGCACAGGTTCGCTTTCCCCAGAAAAATCTGCTTACATCGGCGAGTATGAGTGGCTGGCTGAGTAGGATAAAGCTATGGGCGGCGCTCCTGGCACCCGCGGGCGGCCCGTCGGAAGCGGCGGCCGGCGGACGACCAAGGGAGCTCTGCAGAAAGGCTCTTAAGAGTGTGAGCGAGAATGCGAAGATCTGCCAACGGCTCAACCTATGCCGGTGGGGCGTCTCCAATCGTACCTAGATTTCCGCTTAGGATGGTTTCAACATCATGTTCTAGATCTCTTTTGTCCAGTGTTCGGCGCGGAGCAGCAGAATGTTCGAGCAGATCCAAATATTCGAAGCTAAGTTTTAGTTCGACTTATATCTCGCACTCCAACTTAAATTTTACTTGTCCCCTGTCCGACTTCGTTATCATCTTTCTTTTGCCTCCGTGCCCATTTTAGGCCTACCATCACCATCGATACTCAAGCCGCAGGCGAAGCACCTTTCCGGATTCAAAACAGTGATGAATTTGCCTTCAGTACGTATTCGGAAACATAAAACAGCCGACTCGTTTTGTTCCCTAAACTCAAACAGTCCGAAGTCCTGTCAAAGGAAGCGAATCTAACGAGCATCTTATCCGTTTGCATCTTATCCGTGGGTACTGCGCCGGAGGGCGTCGCCAGCTTCTGCTTCCAGCTTACGGAACGGTATTGGGCTTGTTTAATCCGAACAGCGACATCGAAGCACGAAACGTAAACCAGGAATACATCGCGTCTTCGTTGCTAACCTTCGGCGCGGCCAAGGGGTGCACGTTTGAAATGAGTGAACACTTCGGAAATGTTCACCTCGCCAATTGCACCAAAAGTGCAGTTGCATGTGACATAGCAATTTCTTCAATCTTCAATTTCTTCAACTTGCCCAGATGGCTCAATATCCAGAGCCCAAACTCTCTGGTTATCCCCTTCAATTAGACCAAGTGCACAGAGAATTTTTATTGATAGCAAATCAGGGCGTCGTAGCAAGACACCTCAAAACACAGGCGTAGCAGTACGTCCGCTCAAGCAGGTCCGATCCAAATCAAACTCTACGTTGATTATCCCGACAGATCCATCTCCAGGGCTGATCCCACGGTGCGGCCTGGTCTCGTTTCCAAGTGCGGGCCGGATCTTCGACTCCACTGGTAACCAGAATCCCAAGCAAGTCGCACCGGTATGACCGTTGATGACAATGATCAGGGCTGGCCCGGTACGCTCGCCGCGCCTGAATGGCCCCACAGATAAAGAGACAAACGTACATGGTACATGTTGTGTCGGCCAAACGTACATGCTACCTATTATTGAATCAGATTACGAAGGCTGACGCTCTAAACTTTAAGCTCACAGTTTCGTTGGGCTGCTTTCGCATGAGAAGGAATCCTTGAACCCACTAGGCACTTTTGATTTCCTCTGCTGCAGCTTGCCACCTTGCACTTTAGAATCGATAGCGTTGCTGGAGCTCACAGCTATAGTAGCGGGCCGGATTCGACGTGGGCGCCTTTGAAGCATATTGAACATGTGCTTTCGAGAGCGTACGCGAGAGGGCGGCCGCGTCCAAGGGCCGCGCGCAGAGCGGCTGCAGGTCGTCATACGTCTGCACACTTGAGGTCGTTATACGTTGACGTCAAGTGACGGACTAACTTATGAATCTGCAACTGGTAACTCAAGACTTGATGGGCCACCGTCGCGCACCCTGAAGCTGCCGGCCTGTCTTTCAGGTTAATCGA